AGTGGACCCCAAACTGTCGGAAAATTCTATTCGTCCGTTGTACAGGGACTTTATCAGTCTCTGTACGCCATGTGGCTACCACTTGTCAGAGACGCCATATCTCTTTCGCCAGCCACACCAGCCGCGGGTCCGGCGATGGATTCAAGGGCAATCTAAGGGTGGCATCTTATGGGTGCGTGCCGCTGTTTACCCCGTACTGCACACTCGCATGCGTTGTGGTGCATCGTCGGCAATGAACAGAAGTAGATGCATATGTGTATGCAGTACGCATCTAAATATGGTTATATTTGCTGATGTATATGAATACGTATTGAAAATTTTGCTTGTTTGGTTTATTTAGTCAGTTGTTTGTAAAGCAAAGAAGTAGGTCAGCAAGTAAGTATGTCTGAATGTTTGTCTATATGTATGTTCATATGTAGGTAGCCGGTATGCATGCATGTATGTATGCAGGCAAGCAGGCAGGCAGACAGGTAGGTAGGTTGGTAAGCAGGTAGGTAGGTAGGTAGGTAGGTAGGCAGGCAGGTAGGTAGGTATGTTTCTAAGATATGGTGTATGCTAGATTCCGTGTATGCATGTATGCGTGTATGCATGCTGGGATGTATGTATGAGTATGTATGCATGTATGTAGGTCAATGTATGTATAGGTATATGAAATTTGAAGCTGCAGCCAGCTGGAAGGACTCGTATTAGATCAGCCACCGAATACGGGGCGGCAACGCCAGGTGACTGTAGCTGTAGCACTGCAGCATGTTTCATCTAGAGTCACTTCCAGCGATTTTAACCTGCTGTATCATGTTGAGTTCTGGGGTGCCACAAGAGTTGGCATGCGTCCTTGAGGCATCGGCAACGCTGCCCACGTTTTGCGAGAGATTCTCTTGCGTCGGGCGACGACTGACAGAGCGACAGACAGACGGACAGACAGACAGACAGACAGCCAGCCAGGCAGACAGACAGACAGCCAGGCAGACAGACAGACAGACTGACTGACTGACTGTATGTATGTATGTATGTATGCTTGTATGTATCTATATGTACGTACGTATGTACGTATGTACGTATGCATGTATATGTATGTATGTATGTATGTATGTATGTATGTATGTATGTATGTATGTATGTACGTTGTTTTGCTTATGCATCTGCACACATACGCACAGAGACACCCACCCACCCACACACACACACTCTCTCTCTCTCTCTCTCCCTCTCTCCACCGCGTGCGCGCGCGCACCGAAGCACACCCGAGCACCGGCCCTTCCAGGAGGAATGCAACGATGACCAGATCATGAGGCTGAACAAGGCCGGCTCTTCTGATTTCCCCATGGTTTCCCCCAGACCTCAGAGCCCGATGTGGCTCTGGGAGCCTAAAAGCCCTGAACCCCTAAACCTTTAGGACCATGAGCAAACATTGCTTCTAGGCTACCCAGCCACCAGCTTAGAGGATTAAGTGGCTGCATGTGGATGAGCATAGAAGCTCCACAGCGATGCGCTGGCACCCCAAGCCCTAAACTCCAAACCCTAACGATAACCTCTACACATTGCCTAACCCACTCGAAAATCCGAAGCCCTCGTGTTTTGGTCGGTTTCATTGACCTTTTTGCTTCGTGTTCCAGGCATCGGCAATGAGCCGCCTGAGTTTTGGGGCAGGTTGCGGCATAATTATCTAGCATAGGGACGAGTAGCAGAAGATCCTGTTGCTACTGAATATTCAGCAGTCTATACTAGGTTAGCCTGCGCAGGGGCTGTGTCTGTGGCTAATTTGGGGCTGAGCCTCTTCGAGGAAGCTGGTCCTTCCCGTGCTAGCGCATAGACAGCAAATGTGCATTTGCTCACTCAATCTCACGAACCTCAGGCTTTCAACCCTCAACCCCGAGCCCGAAACCCATAAGCACCATCGCATAGTGCACACAACACCAAACCTGAAAGCTGCTAATGAACAGGTCTTGGATGGAGATCAGGAGACACTTCGTGAGATCCGCTCGCCTGTGGCATCGCCGAACCTGGGGACCATCCCTGCTGTTTGGCTGCAGTTGGGGCATAGGGCCCGCCCTAACTGAGGCTGGCTGCAAGTCTCCAAACATATGAGCCTGAGTATTAGAACCCTGGTCGATTTAGGCCCCTAAACCCTAAACCATAAACCCTCTATCCCGTTCGAAAACTTGCGGCTTGATCCTTTCATGGGTTCCCGCCGCTACTGCATGAAAAGTTCTGGGCTGTCGAGTGCAACGCTCAATAGAGTATATTATTATAGCTACGGTCGTTATGGTCATGCGCGGAATGGCAGCTTTATGCAAGCCTGAGTGGGTGCTTTGGACAGCAGCTTTGAGCAGACTACGATCCGTACTCCTACTCCTAATGCGGCTTACTGGTCGCACTACTACTGTTCCTACGACGACGAAGACGACGACGACTACTACTACTGCTACTACTACTCCTGGTGCTGCTGGCGCTGCTGCTGCTGCTGCTGCTGCTGCTGCTGCTGCTGCTGCTGCTGCTGCTGCTGCTGCTGCTATCATGATCAGTGACAACAACGACACAAGCGGTACACCACCAGGCCCTCTGGGGACAGACTGAGAGGGAGCCTCGGTGGAGCTGAGGTGCCTGGCTTCGAGGGCCCTGGGCGCGTCCGCGCGGACAGCCTCCGGGCAGAGTCACGGGAGTTGTGGTGAAGGTTCCTTAGGGTTTACGGTTTGGGGTTTAGGGTTTAGGGTTGGGTGAAGGTACCTGCAGTTTAGGGTTTGAGGTTTAGTGTTGCCTGTAAGGGTTTGGCGGGGCTTCCCACTAGGTTCCGCATGGGCTTCTCTGGCTTTATATGGGGTGGTCAAATAATTAGGGATCCCCAAACCCTAAACCCCCCTCTTTGGGCTGTCTTTCTACTACGGGTTCTACTGCTTGGCTTCTACATTAGGGCCATGGGCCCCATTATTTCCTGAGTGCACGGCCTTATGGCCTTCGTGTTTCGACGTGAGATGTTGAAGCTTGTGTTATGGTCAATAGAACATCGGACTGCTTCATTTGGGGTTTCCGAGAATTCGTTGTTTTTTTTTTCGTTTGGGGTCCATCTAGCTGGGATCTAGCCACGCAGGGCCTTGTTAGGGAATTTAGGGATATCCTGTATCTGGAGCTTCCCTTGAGTGTGCCTCCGTTACTTGGATGGGATATGCATGGTTCGGTTTGCTTGTTCTTATTGTTTGGGCCGTGCACGAGGCCGCGCCTCACTCCCTAAGCTTTGTTCACAGAGGTATTGAACACAGAGAAATTGGATCGGCACTCTTCGAACATCTTCAAAGGCAGACCTGCTCGCTTGGCCCCGAAAATCCTTCGACCCGGGCTACTCCCGAAGGGCCACAACCTGAGACCTGACAAACCCAAGAACCTCGGCAATAATGTCGGGGCCTTAATGATTAGAATAGGGTTTGGGGGTCTACTATACTATATTATAGTAAGGAACCTCCAAAAACCCTATTCTAATTATTCAGGTCCCTATATTAGAGCTTGCAGATGTCTCGAAGCCTAGAACCGCTGCCGGAGACCTGTGAACCTCACGATCGCTGTTCCTGCTACTTTGAATAGGTTTACTTCAACTGAAAAATCCTCAAATTCTGAGGCCTCAAATTCTGAGGCACTACGAGGGAGGTCTATAGGGGTTTGGGGTTCAGGTTTAGGATCTTAGTTTTTTGGAGCGACGCATCTAGGCTTCAGGATTTTAGCACGTCTCGGGGGTTTCAGGGTTTAAGGGTGACGGGCTTTCGGGTTTAGGGGTTTAAGGTTCAGGGCCTAGGGATTTCGGTTTAGGGAAGCCCGCAAGTGTGGGAAATGTCTGAGGCTACGCCAGCTCCGGCATGGCAACACCACCCGCAGAGGTTGTTGGAAGCCCAACCACCAGGGAGCACGTGGGCCCCAGCCCACAAGAATTGAGGCCACGTACTCGTTGTTGGTAGCCGGACTTGGATCGGACCTGTGTTTGGGATTAAAGTTTAGGGTTTAGGGTTTTGGTTGAGGTTGGTGACTTTTTGCCACTACCAATGCTAATACGAATACGAAGACAAGTAATATAAGCACTAATACCAACATAAAATACCAACACAAATGCCGACACCAAGAACAACAAATTGACTAAGACTCATACTAAACGGAATGCTATACTAATACCATATTGTTCCACCATACTAACACGAATGCGAATACAAACACTGGTTTTCATGCTGATGTCAACACCAATACAAATACGAGTTCCATTACATACTAATGCCAATCGTTCGTAGTGCGAATGCTGATATTATTGGGTACTGAATGTAAACGTGAATACAAATACTCAAATACTGTAGCAACATTATGTCGTACCATACCGTCCCCTACCCACCCTACCCTACCATACCATGCCACAAAAATGATGCAATGATAGAACATACGATACTCTCGTAAACTACACCGTACTATACTATGCTACACTGAAATATGCTAGATAGACCAGACTAGACAATACTAATCTACTATGCTGTGCTACACCATCGTATTCGGTACTCTTCTAGGTGCTGTATACTTTATACTAAATATTCTTTTACAGACTATATGTATACTCACACCAAATGCAGAAACTATTGTGTTATACACTGAATACTATATACTGTATACGATATACAAGGTACTATATACTACATACTACAGATTGGGTCCGCCCCGCCCGTTTGCCCACCGCCAGGTCGTCACGACAACCGCTGTTTCGGCTTCGACGATGGTTTACGGTTTAGGGGATAAAATAGAAGATAGTCCATGCGCTATGTCTGCTGTCGGTCATAAAATAAAGCTCAA